CCCCTTAGCACTGTGAGCAACCACTTCCTTAATACTGTGTGCAACCACCCCCTTAACACTGTGAGCAACCACCCCCTTAACACTGGGTGCAACCACCCCCTTAACACTGGGTGCAACCAACCCCTTAGCACTGTGAGCAACCACTTCCTTAATACTGTGCGCAACCACCCCCTTAACACTGTGAGCAACCTGATTGCTTCGTCCACAGGCCTTGGAGGATAGCAGGTTTGACCCAGTGACTGCTACGGAGTTGCCCTCACTGCAGTGCACAGTGTCGTTGCTGATCGACTTCGAGAAGGTGGACGATTGCATGGACTGGGAGGTGTGTGTGTGTGGAGTGTGTATATCGTGCGTCTGTTGTGCGTTATCATGCGCTTTCGTGTATGGAGGGTTTGTGAGAGTGTGTATTATAGGAGTCTAGTGCATGGCAGCTTTGTTGATTGACTTTGAAGTAGGGTACGATAGAGTGGACTGGAAGGTGCGTATGTATTTACGTAAAAGAGTTCTATAAAGGTGTGGCCCTCCTGTACGATTGTACAAGAGGCTGACGGTTATTTAGTATGTGATGGTGTGTATGTGCATACAAAGCAGTTCGGTACATTGTGGTCCAGGTGAGCAACTAGGGACAGTTGGACGGTTGCATGAACCGGGATATGTGTATGTGTGTTTGTGCATACAAAGCAGTACGGTACTTCGTGGTCCTGGTGAGTAACTAGGGGCAGGTGGACAGTTGCATGGACCGGGAGATGTGCATGTGTGTATGTCCTGAGAATTCCCTGGAGGTGATTCGCTACTGAACTATCCTAAAAGGCGTATGGTGTGGAAGGTGTATGTAAACGCATACGAAAACAGTCTAGTACATACCAGCCCTTCCGATCGATTTTGACGCATTGAACTATTATACGGAACGGAAGGCGTTCGCATGTGTGTATGTACATGTGCCAAGTGCACTGCTTCTCTACTGCTCGTTTCTAAAGAGATGGACGGTCGCATGGTCTGGGATGTGTGTGCATGTGTGTATATATGAGGCGTCTAGTGCACCATAGTTTCAGTGGTCAACGTCGAAGAGGTTGTCGATTGTATAGTATGCAGGAGTGTGTGTGTATTTGTGCATGTAGGAGGTATCCTCTGCAACCAGGATATATATGTATATATGTGTCTGTCTGTGTCTGTGTCTGTGTCTGTGTGTGTGTGTGTGTGTGCCAGGGTGTGCTTTATATGTTGTATCTGGGTGGAGTATTCAGGATCCACAAGTGTGCCCTGGTTGCTGTGTATATTCTCACACGTACGACATGCAGTTGGGCGTGCACAAGGTCCTCTTACCTATACTATCATTATGCAGGGCGTATATATTGTGTATCTATTTCAACACGTTAACTGACAAAGTCTGGATCTCGAAGCCCTGAACACGCGCGAGATTCTGTACCTTGGTGTCCTCGGCAGAGCAGTATTTGGTTAAACCGATGTTAGTGTACAGACTATACCTCCGGTGGCGTATATTATAGTCCTCGGCAGAGCAGTATTTGGTTAAACCGATGTTAGTGAACAGACTATACCTCGGGTGGCGTATATTTTAGTCCTCTGCAGAGCAGTATTTGGTTAAACCGATGTTAGTGTACAGACTATACCTCCGGTGGCGTATACTATAGTCCTCGGCAAAGCAGTATATAGTTACACCGATGTTAGGGTACAGACTATACCTCCGGTGGCGTATATTATTGTCCTCGGCAGAGCAGTATTTGGTTAAACCGATGTTAGTGAACAGACTATACCTCGGGTGGCGTATATTTTAGTCCTCTGCAGAGCAGTATTTGGTTAAACCGATGTTAGTGTACAGACTATACCTCGGGTGGCGTATACTATAGTCCTCGGCAAAGCAGTATATAGTTACACCGATGTTAGTGTACAGACTATACCTCCGGTGGCGTATATTATAGCCCTCGGCAGAGCAGTATATAGTTACACCGATGTTAGTGTACCGATCATACCTCCGGTGGCATATATTATAGGTACCAATCGGCCAGGACCCACAGACCCTTTCACTCACACGCCCAGCCATCCCATCCAGAAGACTCGGGCGGGAGTTCACAGGCACTGATTCTCGGGTACTTCCCAATTGCAACAGATCGGCATTCACGGGATTTGGATCGAGTTCAAGGACCACCTTGGCATGAAGCGAACGGCCACCTATCTGCCTGAGGTGATGAGTGAGCAAGGGTGGACGCGGATGGAGGCTCTCGAGTCGCTGCTGCGAAAGGGCGGGCACGTGGGCAGGGTTAGTAAAGCGCTGATCAAAGGCATAACATTAACGCGATACAAGAGTGAGAAGGTGAGTTGATTGATAATTGTGTCCGCGATGATCCAAAAAAAAAAATGTCGTGTTTTTATGTATACGAGAGAAGTATGTGGATATGGTAAATGTATACGTGAACCGATGTATGTGTGGGTTTGTACATAAGAGGTGTTAGAGATACTCGACCGCTCGCTACCTCTACGCGCGGGTATGCTTCTCATCCTCGGCGGACCGACATGTACGGACACACATATTGCTAAACGGGTATGAGTTGTTATATCGGGCCTTTCATGCTATCCATTTCCTCATCCATTCTGCGTACAGACGTCTATGACATACGGTGATTACGTTCAGCACCACATACACATTCGTGAGCAGCATGAACTACCACTCCCGGATTGGATCACCGTCAAGGCATAGGCGTATGCTCGAGTAGGCGTACAGCCCGTTGCCCGGAATACAGCAGTATAAACGAACTTTATTTGTTACACACCCCCGGCCCAAGTTGTGTCTAGACCTCGCTCTGATCCGATAGTGAGCTGTAGTGTAAACGTTAGCGTTTTTGGTCACTCGGATTAGGCAGATCTGTGTACCAGGGCGTCTATTGGAGCGCTTATCGCGTTGATACTATGTGCGATGACCCGTGGTATGGACGATGAGGAGGTCTGCCGAGCCAAATGGGCGGCCGCACACAGCACAGATGTGTGTAGAAAGAAGAAGCCGCTACTACACTATTACCACTTAAGCAATAGTCGGAGTTGTTGACAGGAGACTAGGGTTTTAGAAGAAGCTGAGACGACACCTGTAGGCAAAATGATAGGAAGTGCCGGGTTACGCGAATAGAGGGCGTGACTTCGCTGATCTATTTTTAGATTCGGGAGAGCATCCCCAGCGATGACATCCACCACCAATCCCTTCGTCTACTCTACCTTTCAACTCGATATTAGATTGCCCAGAATCAACAACCCAATTCCGTGATCCTTAATTTATTTTTTTTGGCCAAAGTTTGTTGAGAGGGTGAGACCGTGAGTAATAAGATAGTCCAAAGATATAACTAAATCATCAGTGTACATACATATAACTAAATCACCAGTATATATACATATAACTAAATCACCAGTATATATACATATAACTAAATCACCAGTATATATACATATAACTAAATCACCAGTATATATACATATAACTAAATCACCAGTATATATACATATAACTAAATCATCAGTATATATACATATAACTACACCACCAGTGGACATACATATCCTTTCAGCCCGCAATCCACAGCATGGCTGCTGCTACACACTATTCGCAGACAATAAGGCGAAAGTTGATCCAAATTCCAAATACGATACACGAAAATGGCACTTTCTCTTCAGAAATTTAAAAAAATTCGTCGCAATTTGCTCGGTGGATGACCTGATAGCGCTGCGAAATCACGCGTTTGTATTCAATATTTAAGCTTGAAGGGTCAGGTGAGACCCATAATTCAAAGTTCGATATATGTGTGAAGTATATTACCAGAGCGGCAGAGGATGTGAACACGCGTTTACAGACAAACACGCGCCCACGCGTGTGTACGATATATCACGCACTGCCTAGCGCGGGTGTGCACTGAGTGGATGAGACGCTGATTTCAGTGATATGAAACTCTAGAATCCTCAATAGCTAGTAGTCTTGCGCAATACCATATAAGTAATACACTCAGTATTACTTTACATCGTACTCAAGCATTTCAAATAATCGACTGAAAGAGTCTTCCAAATTATAAACAGTTACTGTGTTTTCATACAGTAAAATCTCAGCGGCACTTTTAATGTGCACCAAAACTAATGCATACACGCATCTACCTACAGTACCGCCCCATAGGTATAACTATGTACGAGATAGTACAGATCTTACTTGGGGTTCCTTACCCGTCGTTCGCGTGGTTGTATGTTTCGGAGCTGTGCGTGCGACTATCTGTCTCGGATTCGTATGCGCTTCTCCTATACCTTTGTGACTGTGCACGACAATCTGTGCACCGGGTTTGCACAGCTACACATAACCTCCGGCCGGACCATTTAGTCCCACACGCTCTCTCTCTGAAGCTGCAGTCCGAATCTGTATAGAACACTTCCAAGTACCAAGCGTTAGTACCAGCCGCATATACAGCACCCCCTGTCTGTAGAGAGAGGTTATGGTAGACGGTTCAGATTGATCCCATCTTGGTGGATTGGCCACCCATTGAATGCACTTTCCCAGGTCCACGAGGAGTGGTGTGTGAGGCGACAAGCATGTGTTGCTGATATGTTCGCTTGTTGACGTGGTGTGTGGAACGCAGGAGAGTACTGCCACGTTCATGATAGTCACTACAGCTGGTTCGAGTGAGCTCACGTCCAGTAGTGTGTTGGAACCTCCCCGGTAAACCCTAAACTCTAAATACTAAAAACCCTAAAGCTTTGCGGTGGTAGCACAGTACAATAAGATTAAGGTTGAGATTAAGGCACGAATGTATATGTCCTGTCACGCATTGGGTATATGTTGTCCCATGTAAGTGGGGTATCCTTAATTAACGCGAACAAGAGAATCACAATGATCGGAACTCGGTGTTAGCCTCATTGCGTTTTTATGTTTCTCAACATATAAAAATCCATACTGTAGTTTCTACGTCGACGCTCAACGTTTACTTTGGTTTAGACACGTATGTTTAATGAGGGTGCAATATTTGAGTTCTGAGGTGCAATATATAGCAACTATTCCCTCATATAGTCCTTTCTTTTCATATTAGGCTCGACCCTCTCTACCCCACTTATACGTTGTAACGCTTTTCAACTTTATACGTTTACATTCAACATATACGCTGAACCCCAGTACGGAAATAGACGTTTGTGGATCGAGGATTACGTTCTCAGCAGAGTGCATTCAACTGCTGAACCCGCAGTGCCTGATAGCGCCAGGACTCAGATATCTCAGAGCGTCCGACATTTTGTTTAACTCTACTGTAAACCATTGTTTTATAGAAATGATGTGTGAAGTTACCTTCAAGCAAGTGAATTTTTACACATGACAACTTTATATTCGTACGTTTAATATTTCGTACGTTTAATATATGGGTGTGTATGTATGTAGTTGTACATACACAATCATTAGTGTCTGTTCACGCAAGTATGCAATACGCTTGGCCCAAATACAACCAATCGACCAGGAGTGAAAATTTTCGTGCACCTTATCGAATCTGTGGCGTTTTGCACTACTGAAACGGGTGCAAAAACTTGGTTCGCTGTGCGACCGGATCTCAGATTGCTGGAGCGGTATCTAGGCCATCTCAAGTTGCGACAGAGCTCGGTGTCCACTCAGAAACATCACCACGCCAATGGGAAGGAAGTACCAGATGGTTGTATACATGTTGAGCTCGACCCAGAACCTGTTCGGTAACAGAGGGGGTATCAACAATGGTGGGATATTAGATCATCAGCATAGTACAACTACAACGGCATGTGAGATACCACATACGGATTGGTAGTATATACGTTCATTCGATACAACTCACAAGCCGTCGAGCATCGCCATGGGGCTGCGTGATTTACAAACCGGCGTATTCAGATCCTTTCCGAATACCCGTTCCGTGAACAATATAAACCCTAAACCCCTAAGACTAAACCTTACACCAGTGGCTTACATCCTTGAGGTCTTGCAAACTAACACCTAAAACCCTAAACCCTTAAACATAGGGCTACGCCCGAGTAGCAAAGCTCTGGTATTCAATAGTGTGCTGTAAGAACCTTGAGGTAATCGGCTACCAGGCTGGGTGATGGTATAAACCGATATACAGGCTTCAAACATTGCCTCTTGAGACCAGAACTCTGCGATAGATGCACAGACGCACGCTAACACACTTGCACACAACACGGAGAATTGCCCACATCCTGGGTGAGCTATGGCTAGAGCTGACAGACTGCTTCGTGCTACAGGACCCATGGCCTGCGAATACACCCGACCGCACGTGTCACACTATTGTAATGCGAATGAATCTCATAAATCCCTAAACGGCTAAACCCAAATACTGTGTGAAATCACGATGCTATTGGAGTGTCAGATCGTCGGCTTGCAACACTGTACATCACTTTTGGTAGAACGTTGAGGTGGCTGTAGCAACCGAAGCAATATACAATGCTCATCATATACACTCGCTAGACTAAAGGGCGTGCATAGCCACCAACGAGGGATGAAACGGCCACGCACCGTCATACAAGTAACCTATCACTAGATATTAATTGACAGATCGACAGTGAAACCGCAAGGTATGGACGGGTCCTTGAATTAAGAACACACACACTGCCGCGTGCACGCTTCTCCTCCACTCACTCACTCACCAGATAAAGAGGGCGTACATAGCCACCAACGACGAGTGGAAGACCAACGCAGCCAGCGATGGGTTAAACTGCTTCAGGTTCACTCCTAGCCCGGCCCACTGCACGTGTGTGTGGAATGGGGTATGTAAGAGTGTGTGGAATGGGATATGTAGGAGTGTGTGGAATGGGGTATGTAGGGTTGTGTGGAATGGGATATGTAGGGTGTGTGGAATGGGGTATGTAGGAGTGTGTGGAACGGGTTATGTAGGGTGTGTGGAATGGGATAATGTAGGGTGTGTGGAATGGGGTATGTACGAGTGTGTGGAATGAGGTATGTAAGAGTGTGTGGAATGGGTTATGTAGGGGTGTGTGGAATGGGGTATGTAGGAGTGTGTGGAATGGGGTATGTAAGAGTGTGTGAAATTGGGTATGTAGGAGTGTGTGGAATGGGCTATGTAGGAGTGTGTGGAATGGGGTATGTAGGAGTGTGAGCAATGGGGTATGTAGGTGGCATTAGAAGTGCGCTGGGTATGCATACATTAGCGACGTTTGTGGAAGGACGTGGTTCAGAGGCACATACGCATCACGTGCAAGCACCCTTGCGGGAGTGCGAGCTATTGAGCCGGTATACCATGATAGTGGTAGGAGTATGTGATGGTGCCAGGAAAGTTTACGGAGAATGAGGTATAGAAGTATATAGCACTGCCCCTGTATAACTTATACACGCACACTCAGAGGAGTTTGATGGCAGGAAAGCGTCTTTGTAGAGCACTCAGTTACACGGGAACACGGACGTCTCCGCATTGCACACACACTTACATATATACCCTTGGACCAACCAGAATCTACAACCAGGCATCCTTCTAGTACTACACCAGAAACCAACTGTAATCTGTTCATCGTAAACTCGCCCATTGATTGGACTTATGCATCTACAACGATACTCACGCACACACCAAATGAAGAGTGCACATTGTGCCATACAAACGTACCGCTCCGAAGAATGTGACAGCAAGCAGGAGCGAGCACCGCGGCGAAGAAGACAGTTCCCATATATGAGGAAGGCACCTCATGGTAAAGGCATTCAGATACCCGATAACATACAAGCAACTACAAGCTGCATATCGCACAAACTTGTTGAATGCATACCTGCACCCCCATATCGGTATACGAGTACAACTCAATACATATCTGTATATAAGTATTCAGAAGCACAACCGTCCTACTCCGAGCAGCATGACAGCAGAAGCCAGCCCCACCGCACAGAAAACGGCACCCATGAACGAAAAGTGCACCTCATCATGGTAAATAGATTATCACACCCAATGATATACAGGCAACTGCGGATTGCTTATCGCAGAAACCCGTTGAACGCATACATGCACCCCCAAATTTGACCCCAAGCACAACCCAAACGATATCTGTGTATATGTACCCAGAAGCACAACCCGTATGTATGTATGCAGAAACACCAACGTACCGCTCCCAGAAGTATGACGGCAGGAGCCACCACCGCCGCAGAGAAAACGGTTCCCATGAACGACGAGGGCACCTCGAATCCAGGCGTAAAGGTGTACTCGAGCGGCTCAAGTCTGTGTACGCCAGTAGCACTCTGGCGCACAAACGTCGACGCAATGTCTGCCTTGCCCACGGTCCAGGTCAGAGGCTTCTCGATCATCAGACCACCCACGAGCACATCAATGCTGTGGAGGTGGGCGTGGAGGTGGAGGGTCAGTGGGTGGGGTGGGTTAGGTTAGATAGGGTGTGTATCGTAGTGTATTTGTTATACACACGGATCGAAGTCGAGCACTTGTACACGACTAGACGAACAGAGTGTATACTCTTGAAGACATAGCTGAACTCTTGGACGAGCATGCAGATACTGGAGTGTGGAAGTGGCGGATCACCTGTGGTGGTTCATTCCATCTGTGTCATCTGTGTTTTCTATATTCAAATGACAAATCGAACACATCAATGCTGTGGGGCGGTAGAAGAGGTGCAGTACGTTAGAATAGGTCTGTACTAGAACTGGGCCTAATACACACCTGAAGACCGTAGTTGCTGACCTCTGAATGACGGCTAGGACTCCGACGGCTCACATAATGAGAAGTCACAAACACAACCAACACAGCAGGTACTATGAGCAGGAAATTTGTGTAGAGTTGAACTCTTGTGTATGGCTCGACAATCACGCTCTTCGCATGGTACAGACATCCTGTAGTCCGCATGCCAGCCGAATTAACGAAGACACCAAGACTATATGAAGCTCACTGATCGATTGACAATAACGAGTTCTCACAGCCGAATTGCGTACCACGTCCAAGTTCATCGAAACATAATGCGAAGTATCGGTGTTCCGACATAGAACAGATGACATACGTGTATGTGCCGGCTTCCACCTTGGGCCCACGTTTGCTGGAGAAATCCTGTGCAGAGAATTGAGCAATGATTCAGACCACCATACAAGACTAGTAAGAGATTGTAGGTACGCTGAGTGTACAAGAACCCTCTTGTATTTATTCATACATATATATACATACATACTCACATATATATACATATACACTCAGATATATACATATATATCATATCTATATCGCATATCTCTGCCGTGCAGTGGCTGACTAAACTACTCAGTCGTAGGCAAATTTTCACACTAGGCATCCAGAAGCTACCGTTATACGCACCCGTTCGCTACAACAAATGGGTTTTTTCGCCTGTCGCGAACGTAGTCCGTTCGCTACAACAAGTGGCTTTTTTCGCCTGTCGCGAACGTTATTGTGGTGAAATATAAAAAAAACACAATTGCGCCATAAATTGCAGGAAAGACACAACCATAAGTAGCCTATGACAGCAGCCGAGTATATACAAATATCTGTATACACATATATACGTATAAATAAGTGCATATACACATACCGACCAACCAAATACTCACTATCAAGGTGGATATATACGTATATGCATACGCAGACAAGATACCTACCATCGCAGCGGTGTACTTTCCGTCACCTTTGGTAGTCTTCACAGTCTTGATTCGATCGACAGTGGGTGACGTCATACGAATGTCCACCTGAACAAACAGATTACGTCAGACAGTGGTGCCAATGCACTCGTACCAACACACATGCGTCACTGCACTATATAGTTCAAACCGGCCCCGACCCCCGATTAGATCAGAGCAAGATTCTTGATGTTTGAAACTAGAATATATATATTTATATATATATATATATATATATATA